AAAGGGCACAAACAGGGGGCAGATTGTTAAGATAAATATGTGGAGGACAAATGATTACAACTTTTGTTATGTGTAGGTACTCCTGCAAGTGGCTGATGATTTCATCGACAGCATTGTCAACTCGGCCTGTCAGATCGCCAAACACAGGAAGTCCACTACTTTAGAGGTCAAGGACGTTCAGCTCCACCTTGGTAAGTCTCGTGTGGCTTCAGTCTACTGTTTCTTTGTGACCGGATCATAATCAGATGCCCAGATCTCCACTCCCAAGTTTGACTGTTTTAAGTTATTTTATTGATTATTTTTTCAGAGAGGAACTGGAATATGTGGATTCCCGGTTTTGGATCTGATGAACTACGTCCATACAAGAAGGCGTGTTCTACAGAAGCTCACAAACAGGTCACTATTAATATTTCTATATTCTACTTGACAGATCTTTCCTGTTCATGTACAGGTAGGTTTCCCATTGACTGTGGTTGTACACAAACTGGATGACAGCCAGTCAGCCATCTTTGATTTGATGGTTCAAGTTTGTTATCACTATTTTTCATGTAGAACTTGACAGATCTTGTTTAGCTCACCTTGTCCAAATGACCTTAGGAGAGCTATGCCATAGAGCAGTGTCCATTGTCCAACCATTAACTTTTCCCTTTAAAATGCTACTTGACATGAAAACAGAAGAAGGGAACTAAACCAAATTTGATATAGAGTAGCTTTGGGCCAAGATTATTCAATGTTATATAAGCAGGGGATGGGTGATGAGACCAGATAAGGGAAGGGTGTTGCTGAGAGACAGCCGCCCTGGGTGAAGAGAAGCAGGGATATATGTACTCTTTTTCAAAACAATGAATTCACTTTGAAAGGACACTGTAAAACACAGCAGTATGGAATGTTAATCAAAAGTAGCTGTCGTCACGATGGCTGTATTGGTGTTTTGAACAAATTGGAAATAATACAGTGACACCTTCTGTCCACGACCTATTACATATATACAGTCCATAGACACATATGGTACTTTTCAAAAGAACAATAATATTAAGAAGCATAACAGCTGATGGTGAACAGCTCTAACAACCATAATTATAATGTTCATCCTTAAAAACACAACAAACTAGGTACAGTAATGATTATTCTAATACCAAATACTGCGTACTGATATAAGGTTTGTTTGACTTTTTCAGAGAATGGCCCTCATACGCAAGACATTGAAGAAATACTGAATTCTCCACACCGTGAATGTTGCCGAGACAGAATGGTGTAACAGTTGTGATGTATTGAAGTGTATACAGTTGTCTGATGTTGTATGGTACCTATGTATTGTCAGAACAATTTGTCTAGCTATGTTTAGTGTTCATTTGGTGGAGACACTTTTCCCTTCCGTGTAAATGTGTTCAGAATGACAGAACTATTAAATAGTAGGGTTTACACTGCTCTGCACTGACTGTTATGGTCCAAATAGATAACAAATAGCATAATTCTGGAATTGAATTGAATAACCATATTGATTTATTGCAAAAGATTGATTAAACAGCAGATATTATGTCAAACTTGAAATGATAGGTTTTTGATACCCGTGTCATTCCCCCTTCCATGGTGAAATCAAACTCTCATGTAACAAATACAGTAAGGGCGTCTCCTATGTAAACAATGCACATGGAGGGCTATGTGTTATGATTCAGCCAGTCCTAGCACTTTTGATAAAAAAATTCACGTGTGTATGACAATGTCCATTTAAGCAGGAGTGAAAGTGAATAAATCTGTGCTATTTATGTAACTGAGATATCATGTAAGTGTGTGAAGAATGTAATAAAAAAATCCATTTTACACAGGCACGTTTTTATATGTTAAGATATCAGCCTTTCGGCATTTGTATGAATGGAGTTTTTAGGTCACCTGTGCTTTAGCTCAAGTGACCTATATATTGCTATCCGTCTTCGTCTGTC